TTCACCAAAATTTGAAATCTTATCCAATTCATATTACAAACAAAATTATAATTTACAATCCGCGCGTAGCACGGAACAATCCCTAGTACAAAATAAAAGGAATAGCTTAGAGTTTCAGAGACTATCCACATCAGCTTTCTAAGAAGCTCTTGAAAATTGCCACATCATCACTTACCTTATTTAGTTTTTAAAGATGCCACATCATTCTCTAATATAATAATATTGGAAAAAAATTATTTTGGGCTTAAAAACCAAATACACTTTGGACCAAACCAACATATTATTGACACACATTGCATATCTCCATCAGTTTATCATTCATTGATTCAGAGATGCAAAATGTAAATAGGTGTATTTTCTCCCTTTCACTTTTCTATCTGATGGCTGTCTATCTTCTTCACTTCTTCACAAATCAACTGTTACAGTTGAAGACATCCATTAAGGCTTTAAAATCTATTGTCTTGCTTCTTCTCCTTCAAAAGTCTCCTTCTCGCTGACTTATCCTCTCTCTCTCCAATAGTTTCGTTTCAGATTTCTATATGTAAGGTGGGCTCTTATCAGCTCCAATGATGCCATACCAAACGAATCAAAAGCCATGAATTTGGAAAAGACGACGGAGCAATGGAGAAAATTACAATCATAGCTTATTTACTCGATGTAAATTCAATCTACCATTTGAATAGATATTGCCTTCGAACTCTGGGTTTTTTATTTTTTCTTTCCCTACCATATTATTACGAAAAAACTTGATTAAAATACAAAATAAAAGGGAACGACGGGATGAGGACAAGGCAAAGAGATGAAAGTCATGTTTGGTGGGCTTGGTCGTAACCAGTGACATGCAAGAATGGAAAAAGTAGAGGGCACCAAACCAGTTCCCACTTCGTTAGCCTTCTCATAAATTATTCTTTACCATGCAAAGGAAATTGAGGAGAGAGGTAAAATTTAGTTTTCGAAAACCTCATTTGATGCAGTTGCTATATGTGCAGTTGTTAGCTTCACACTGATTGTTGGATGTGTAGTTGTTAGGGTTGTTTCTCTAGAAATGGGTCATGAGACAATATACTTGATTCTATATCATTTGGTAATTTAACACGATACAAAAACGTTCTTTTAATTGATGCAGATGTACAATCTACTAGGGCCTGGGTATAGTGAAGAACTCTGAAAATATGAACACATAGAACCTACATTAAAAAGGTAAAAGGGGTTCCTTACTCTTTGTCTCTCTTTGGATCTCTTTTATGGTTTTTAATGGACAGCTTACTCCCTGTTTAAGTTAGGTTAGATAATACATTAGCGTCTCTTAAACTCTATGCAATCTCCATAGGGGAGAGAAAATTTGAAGTTTTGACAAAGAGATGATCTTATGGAGAAGGCAACCGATGCAGCGGACGTAAGTTGCCTTATCACATTACATAATTACAGTGCAAGGTGCAACTACTGCAAACTAAACGAGTTGGAAATGCCAGAATGTACTCTTTGAAACTCACGAGTGAGTGAAGCCGTCTGCCTTAAGATTAGCTTATATAGGCTACGTCTACGTGTTTCCCGCCTGCATGCCTACTTTGTATCAAGTTAGTTCTTATCTACGTTTATGGATTCATCTGGATGCTATAATCCTTGGAAACTGGTTCTTTCAATCTCAACTACTGTTAAATTTTACATTTTTAAATGCTAAATTGCTGTAAATTAGAGAAATTCCGGTTGTAATCATTCATATATATTTAGTCATTGGCAACAATTCAGCTGAAGTAAGTTGTGGTTAATATTTTTGACTCCCTGATTCTGTCGACCAAAAAGAAAAGAAAAAAAGAGATTATCCTCAAATTTCTACATTGTAGAAGATGATTTACCCAGTAAATGAACTATTCTATGAGATGGTTCCTGCTGTTACCGGTTAGAGTTATTTCTAACGAGTCCTTTCTTTTTCTATACAAAACAGTTATGGCCTTTTGATCTATGATCTATTGAATATGATTGTTGCCTGTTGGTTGATCATAATAATAATTTGGATTTGTGACTTTTAATAAACACTTTTGTTTGGTAAGCATGCGCAAGTAGTTTCTTTTTAAAATAGATTTATGACACGATTTCAGTTTATGCTCGGACTCACCATTTAGAGCGAAAGCGAAAATTAGCAGCATTAGTGAACCAAAACTCGATCAAACAAATACATTTGGTGTTGCTTACTCAGAGGGAAACAGACCTGGAAACCAAAGGTCGACTAGCCAGCTCTAACGGAGATGTTGCAAAGGACGCAAGGCAGATGCTTTCTTCCTAAAGATTTAGGATGTAAAAGACAGCGACAAAGATAATTCATACCAACGACCAAATTAAACCAAGAACACACTACATTTACATCCATAAAAGTGAAACTAACGACAAGAGAAAGAAAAGGTACAAAGTTTTATATGATAAATTGATCCAAAATGAATAAAGGAACTGCAAATGAAATTCGACCATCTTGAAAAAGCTAGTAGATGTTAAGCAAAAAAGGATTCATGTCTAATTATGTTGTATGTGCCGAAAAGAAAAGGAAAAAAAAACTAACAAAAAACCATGGTTCTCATACAAACGTGTGATTCTAAAACTTTTTTTTTTTTTTAACTTATAGTAAGGGTTTACAACAACAGTCTTCCAATGATATTGCTATCTTAGTCCTATGTATTCAAAGTCTACACTTTAAGATGCAGATTGTTTTAGGAATGAAAGGCCAAAGTGGCTCGAGCAAAACACATTCGGCAAATACAGAAAGGCTAATCCGAACCGTGTTGGAGCTAGAACCATAGAAGAAGGTGATGGATGTGCTCAAGAAGCAAACTTTGGAAAACAAGAAAAAAAAAACAATGCATAAGGATAAAGACGAGAGCAAAGAGCGTAATGATGAATACATTCTCCCATTCTTCACGTAGTAATAGAAAGAGTAATACATCCAACCGGAAGATATCAATGATACGACCATAGAATGATAGAACTAAAAGTAAAAGGAGAAATGACATCCCCTGCTTTGTTCAATACACAGATAATCTATCATTTTTGCACTTTATACTAATATATACTGCAAAAGATAAATGTTCTTTTAAAAAAACAAAATCAAAGTGATTATGCACAACAGAAGAATCCATATTTAAATCTAAAATAAAATCATTAAACAAATCATAGTGCTCATCATCAAAACTCTTATTCTAGGAGTTTTGTTTTGGTGTGTCTTGAAAGATTGGTAGAGCCAAAATAAATAAAAATATTAATAAGACAGTTATAAAAATAATCTGTGCGTACCGCGGAATAATTCCTAGTTCTTTATAAAAGGAATAGAATCTAAGATATCAAGAGCAGCTTCATCAATGTTTTTTTTTAACATTATATTTAATGAATAAAAAGTAAAAAAAAAAAAGAGAAATTCCCTCAAATGCACTTAATCTAAGTTTTTGTTCCACATATACACTAACACTTTAAAAAATTCCATCCATAACATTTTATACCATATTAATCTTAGTTAGACAAAACATTAGTTAATAAAAAGAGAAGAAAAATAATGAACAAACAAATGTATCAATGACCAATACTGATCTGAAATTCGAATCATTTGTTTTGTTTAGGATCACTCTTCTCATTTGATTGTGATTTGAGATTGTGAATCTCTTAGATTTTTGGGTTTTTTTTTATGAGAAAATAATTTCAGGATTTAAAGCTCAAAATCATATAATGATAGATAGATCTGATATAATTGGGTGAAAAACTCAAAAAACCCGAGGTAAAACAGCAACAATGGTGAAAAAAAAATTGGCGGGAATTAGGGTTTGAATGTCGTAGAAGTGAGGAAGGAGATGAACGTAAATTTAGGAAGATATTTTAAAGTTTTAGTAAGATTTTCCTAAAATGTATAAAGGAAGTCATTACATGTAATTAGGAATGCCTTCGTAAATCGTATAATCGTATAATTGATTATTATTTTGGTTAATTTATACAACTCAAATTCAATTCAAGAAACATTTCCACAATTCAGGAAACCCTTCCACAATTCAGGAAGCTCTTCCACAATTCAAAAATATTTGAAAAATTTAGGAAAGCTTTCCTAAACCATATGAAACGATGTTAAATTCTAGTATTTGGAAGACATTCCTAAAAAATCATGAAATATTAACAGAAAAAACTTTTAGGAAGACTTTCCTAAAGGATAAAATCGGAAAACTCAAATGACAAATGTTAGGGGTGGAAATTTTTTTGCTTTCCTGTTATATTTGTCCTGAAAACTTATTTTCAGTGTAATTATGGAAATTACAAAAAAATAAATAAATAAATAGAAATGTTTCTCAAACAACATACGTTTAGATACATCTCTATCTAGGTGTGTTAATAATTGGTTCATCTCTTTAATAATTTAAAACTTAATTAATTACATAAATAAACTACATTAATATTATATAGATCAGATATTACGGAAAAAGTATCTACTACATCCACTGGAGCCTCGTAACATGTTGGCGAAGAGCTTCAAACTGAGTGTGGTTAATTCTGCATTTGCTTCAACTATATTCAACCACTTCTTGAACAACCTATTCCCATTCATCACATGCTCTAAGAAACCAACTCTTAGCATTAACTAGTAGGGCACCACACCTTTGGTGCAAGTATTTTATTTAACACTTCGTCATAAGTATTTTATTGACCAGCTACGGTATCTTAGTTAATGACTTGTGCCGCTTTTGTACACTTCTTCAAGTTTTTCGTTTTTGCTGTTCTTGTTTATCGTAATATGGTCTTGGTTATATAACTTATAACTTAAAACTTGGCTACTTATAAGGATGGATTGAAAATTTTAAGCGAACCGATTAAACCTGATCCGAAATCATTATGATGAAGAGTTTATTAAAAGTGAACTAACCAAACGCAAACGCAAACGATTTTGATTTTGACTAGTGGTCAAGGTCAAGAGCAATCTCAACGTTAAAGCCGAAAGTCAATGAAATCCTATTGATTTTACATACACAAAAACGCTATTGTCCATCTACTGTGACGGAAAGCATCCTTAAGAAGTCTCTGTGCTTCTTCTCTCCTCCTGCACACAACCAAAACAACAAACACTTTTGTCAATAAATTAGTTGTTCTTATTCTCTAAATCTCTCTACAACATAAGAACTACTTGAAATAATCTTTATAGTTTGTAGATTGATATATGAATGATGATACCATTGAGACAGAAACACAAACCTCTTACTGTTTTCCACAGCTTGCTTTCCCTGTTGAATTTGAAGCTCTGTAATGTGAATAAGCGTTGCTCTCGCCTGACCATAAGAAAAGATAAACAATGAATTAAAAAAACCGATGAAAATAACATCATTCTTCTTACTTGGTGAGGCCGTAAAGAATTGAGATGCAGATTCTTGAAGATCGAAGATATTTCGCTATTTTTGCGTATTGAGAAGGCCTTTCCACAAGAACATCCGCAAGCTCCAATATATGCAACTGTATTTTTCTATTCAGCCACTGGAGTTCTTTCTTGTAATCTAAAACAATATTATCTTCCATTTCAAAAAGAAGATAACTCGATAACCAACATTGCCATGTGATTAAGCAGAACCATCCTCATCGAACTCTAGAAGCTTAAAGATATTGCATTTTTGAGTCTGATTCAGTTCAAGAGACAAAACCCAGAAGACGGAACATATACCAACATTTGAATCTTGTAATCCAAAACAACATATTTGGAGGTTCAAAATTTCAGATAACTTCATAACCAACATTATCATGTAATTAGTTTGAAACTCTAATAAGGGATTAACAAAAACTATCCTAATCAACTCTATTAGAAGCTTAAAAAGCATTTTCTTTTGAGTATGAAGAGAGACAGAGCGAGAAGAAGTAACATACCAACATTTGAATCTTTCGGATAAAGTTGTGGCACTCCTTTTTCTTCTAAGCTCGGAAAGAACATCTTCAGTCTACACCAAAAATTAGGGTTTCTGATATAGGAATATTACTTATTATGAGAGTCACGTAATTGACTAAGTTTTATTATTAGTTTTGCAAAACTAGATGTTTCCATATTACTATGTCGGTTTAGAATTCTTATATAAAGATTTGTATTAAGTTTTTTAACGATATCAATAAACAAGTTTACGAACTCTCCTTCTTCTCTTATTTTCTTTATCAAGTTACGCTCAACTTCAACAAAGAATCAAGGTTCCTTGTGATTGAGTACGGGATCCGTGTTTTAGGAGCATTGGTTTTGGGTTCTATCAATTTATCCGACAGATCGCAGTTTATCTCTATCAAAGGTATTAGACATCACTGATTCTCCGGCTTCAACGGTAGAAACACGTAACCAGATTGTTGCTCGCAAAATCGAAGAACTAGGATCACGGTTCGAAGAGATTATGACTCGCACAGAAACCTTGGAAGGAAAATTTGATGAAGAGAACAAAAAAATCGAAAAACGCTTACTTTCAACTACTCGTGCCAAGACTTCAACAAGCGCCTCTCCGCTAAACTCTTCTACTCCACACACAGACAAATTCGACCAAGGAAAAGGAAGAACAGGATCTCCAGCGGACTACTCGGGAGTTACTAGGTTAGCAAAGATCGACTTTCCTCGGTTCAATGGCGATATAATCAAAGAATGGCTGTTTAAGGTGGAACAATTTTTTACAATTGATCATACACCAAACGATCTAAATGTAGGGATTTCTTCCATCCACTTCGACGATAAGGCAGTAACTTGGCATCAATCGATCATGGAGTCAGACATGGGCAACACTATGATGTTTGATTGGCACACTTACAAGCTCCTACTGCAGGAGCGATTTGAAGAGGTGATGGATGATCTAATGCGGATTTGAAAAGGCTGCAAGAAATGGATGGCATCATGGATTACCATGCTCGTTTCAAGATTATCAAAACAAAGGTTAAATTGTCGGAAGAGTACTTGGTTAGTGCCTACTTGGCAGGATTGCAGACAGACACACAGATGTATATCAGGATGTTTCAACCTCAAACTACACGACAATGCTTACTTCTTGGTCGATTATAGGAGACAGCTCATCCCAAGAAGCTGTTCACAACATGATGGTCTAATTCACGACCAAACATCCCTAACAAAGGGTTGGTTAACTTCAAGAGGGACACGAAGCTGAAAGGGTTACTTCTGAAACCAAAGCCTACTGAACAACAATCTAAACCTCGTCCCTTCCTGACCAATGAGCAGATGGCCAAACGTCGAACTGATGGACTTTGTTATTATTGCGTTGAGAAATACACCCCCAGGCATTTTCTCAAACACAAGAAAACACAGTTGTTTATGATTGAAACAGAGGGTGACGAAGATGACGAATGCACAGAGGAAGCAACCGAAGAGGAACAGACAGGTGACATTGCTCATATTTCTGTAAATGCAGTCTTCGGCATATCCGATTACAACACTATGCACGTTCGTGGGCATCACGGCAAGAGAGCATTGTTCATCTTAATCGGTTCTGGTTCGACTCACAACTTCCTCAACCCAAAGATGGCAGCGAAATTAGATTGTAACTTGGAAACCTCTGGTATCTCTCGCGTCAAGGTGGCGGATGGACGTCTATTGGGGGTTACAGCGAAGATCACCCAGTTTCAATGGAATTTTCATACTACTTCTTTTCAACAAGATGTCATGGTTATTCTTTTGTGTGGTTGTGATATGGTGCTAGGGTGCAGTGGTCAGAGAAATTGAGTCCTATTACTTGGGATTTTAAGAAGCTGGAAATGCAGTTTAAGTGGGAGCAAAAGGAAGTTTTACTGCACGACATAAAGCATGGATCAGTTCGACATATGAAAGCAGAGAAGCTGAATATATTTCAGGAGAATGAAGTACAACTATCTATGATCTTTGCTCAGGATTACGTTGAAGAAGACCAGTCGATGATCTGCTCTCTTGACGCAACATCGCCTTCACCACCAATATGTTCAGCACTCGAAGACTTGTTGAAAGAGTTTGAGGATCTTTTTGCCGCTCCCACGACATTACCACCATTTCGAGAGCATCATAACCATCAGATCCCATTGCTGGAAGGCTCCAACCCAGTAAATCAGCGATCGTATCACTATGCAGTGCACCAGAAGAACGAGATTGATAACATCGTCCAAGAAATGATCAGTTCTGGAACGATTCAAACGAGTTCAAGTTCGTATGCTTCACCAGTGGTCTTAATCAAGAAAAAAGATAGTACTTGGCTACTTTGCATGGATTACAGAGAGCTCAATGGCATGGCCGTTAAGGATAGATTTCCTATTCCTCTGATTGAGGATCTTATGGATATTTAGGGGGCTCAAGTGTCTACTCCAAGATCGATTTGAGAGCCGGTAATCACCAAGTAAGGATGGCTCCATCAGATATCCATAAAACGGCTTTCAAAACTCATAGCGGACATTATGAGTATCTCGTAATGCCTTTGGGACTTACTAATGTGCCTACAACATTTCAAGGTCTCATGAATTTAGTTTTCCAGACTTTATTACGGAAGAGTGTTCTCGTCTTCTTTGATGATATACTGGTTTATAGTTCTTCATTAGAGATTCACCTACATCATCTCCACAGCGTGTTTGACTTAATGAGGCAAAACAGTTTGTGTGAAAAAAAAAGTAAGTGCTCCTTTGCAACAGATAAAGTGGAATATCTTGGACATTACATCGAAGAAAAGACATTTCCACCGATCCCCGCAAGGTTCAGGCTGTCGCGGACTGGCCTGTACCCATGAATCTTAGGAAAATTAGAGGATTCTTGGATTTGGCAGGATACTATAGACACTTTGTCCAAAATTTGGAACAATTGCTCGCCCATTGACCAGTTTAATAAAGAAGGATTCGTTTGTTTGGTCTGACGAAGCTACTGTTGCTTTTCAAAACCTGAAACAGGCTTTATGCGTTGCACCTGTTCTCGCCTTACCTTTATTCGATAAACCTTTTGTGGTTGAGACTGATGCTTATGGTCAAGGTATCGGTGCAGTATTGATGCAAGAAGGCCATCCTTTGGCTTACATCAGTCGTCATTTAAAGGGTAAGCAACTCCATTTATCGATTTATGAAAAGGAACTTCTAGCGGTGGTGTCTGCTGTGCAGAAGTGGCACCATTATTTGCTTACAGGTCACTTCATAATCAAAACGGATCAACGAAGCTTAAAGTACTTACTAGAGCAGCGATTAAACACTCCGGTTCAACAACAATGGCTCCCAAAGTTGCTTGAATTCGAATATGAGATTTAATATAGACAATGCAAAGAAAATTTGGTTGCAGATGCTCTGTCTCGCGTTGAAGGGGCGAAAGTTCTACACATGGCCATGTATGTGCTTGATTGCGACTTATTGCAGAAAATTTAGGCATGTTATGACACAGATTTATCAATCAAAGACATTATAGAGGCGCTGAAACAGAATCCGCGGTCCAAAAAGCATTACTCATGAACGCAAAATATTATAAGGCAGAAGAGCAAGATAGTGGTCCATTTAGATGTTTCGGTTCGGAACACAATTTTGGAGTGGTTACATTGCCCTAGTGGAGGCGGTCACTCAGGTCGTGATGTAACTCATCAGCGTGTTAAGGGCTTGTTCTATTGGAAAGGCAGGTCTAAATATATTCAAGCCTATATCCGCAGCTGTAACGTATGTCAGCAGTGTAAGTATGATACTGCAGCATCTCCGGGTTTGATTCAACCTCTTTCAGTTTCGGACACGATATGGACTGATATATCAATAGATTTTATTGATGGTCTACCTAAGTCCTTTGGTAAAACAGTGATTTTCGTGGTTGTTGACAGATTGAGTAAAGCAGCTCACTCATCAGCGTGTTAATGACTTGTTCTATTGGAAAGGCATGTCTAAAGATATTCAAGCCTATATCCGCAGCTGTAACGTATGTCAGCAGTGTAAGTATGATACTGCAGCATCTCCGGGTTTGATTCAACCTCTTCCAGTTCCGGACACGATATGGACTGATATATCAATAGATTTTATTGATGGTCTACCTAAGTCCTTTGGTAAAACAGTGATTTTCGTGGTTGTTGACAGATTGAGTAAAGCAGCTCACTTCATGGCTCTTTCTCATCCTTATACGGCGGCATCCGTAGCTCAAGCCTTTCTCTACAATGTCTTCAAACTTCATGAATTCCCTCAATCTATTGTAAGTGATAGAGACGGTTTTTCTCAGTAAATTTTGGAGAGAATTGTTCAGCTTACAAGGTGTTGCCTTGAACCTTTCGAGTGCATATCATCCACAAAGTGATGATCAAACAGAGGTGGTGAATCGTTGCTTGGAAACTTATTTACGGTGTATGTGTAGCGATCGACCGCATCTCTGGAATAAATGGCTTATATTAGTAGAGTTTTGGTACAACGCAAATTATCACACTGCGATTCAAATGACTCCGTATGAAGCTGTTTACGTACAGTCACCTCCGCAACATCTACCTTATCTTCCTGGTGAGTCAAAGGTTGCAGTGGTTGCTAAATGTTTAGAGGACAGGGAAAACATGATTTTACTTTTGAAGTTTCACCTTCTACGAGCCCAACACCGAATGCAACAAAACGCTGATCAACATCGGACAGATCGAAACTTTGACATCGGCGATATGGTGTATGTCAAACTTCAACCTTATAGACAGAAATCACTAGTGATGTGTTCTAATCAGAAGCTTGCTCCAAAGTACGTTGGTCCTTATAAGATCATTGACAAGTGTGGACCAGTTGCCTACAAATTAGAGCTTCCTGCATCTTCTCAAATCCATCCGGTCTTTCACGTTTCACAGCTCAAGCTTCATGTCGGTCCACTCTTACGGTCAAACCAGTTACCTTCAAATATTCAAGACGTCCTCATCAAAGATCTCGAAGAGGTTTTGGAAAGGAAGATGGTTCTGCGGCAAGGACGAGCAGCTACAATGGTTTTAATGAGGTGGTCGAATCAATCTGCAGACGAAGCAACATGGAAGTTTCTTTACGATCTACAGATACGGTTTCCATCTTTTAAACCTTGAGGACAAGGTTCTTCAAGTGGGGGAGATTTGATATAGAAATCCTGTACCTATTAATTGAGAATGTAGTTTAATGAAAAATGCTGATTTGTTTTAATCTGATTGGTTAAAATCATTTGTCTACCCTAATTAAATGTGACATGGAAATGATGATGTTTAATGATGATGTAATTGTGACATGGCATTTACTAACACATGTGGTTGATGACATGGCAAAAAGAATTTTTGTGATATTTCCATAAATAAAACATTAATTAGATGACAAAATTTAATGTACTAATAACTAAATCTGTAATGATTCGCCATATACACTACGAATGGCCTGATATTATTATTTATCTACATGGGTAATAGTAGATAAATTTTGGGCTGAACGTGATGATTTTAATACACACATATATATATTATAATACTATGGATAATACTATATTATATACATATAAAATTTACTATAGCTCTGTCGTAGACCACTGTGACTTTCCATATATACACATATCTACATATATATTATAATACTATATTCATATGGAATACATGCACATATGTTTTCATATACTTCACAGTAGGCAAAATTATAATAACAAAATCACATTGATCAAATCATTTACCTAATATTTCATATTTTATGTAAAGGTGGTGCTCCATTTACGTGCACATATGTTTTCACATAGTTCAGTTGGCAAAATTATAATAAAAAATAAAATATTATTGTGATCTTCTGTAGAACATTCAAAATTTAAAATTAGTTTAGTTTAAAAATAATAACAAATATAAATATAAGATTTCGATTTAATAATCATCTACGTTATTTTTCTTAACAAATGTTAGATATCCTAAAAAATTAACGTGCATCTAATGAAAAACCAAAATTATAATCCTCTACATTATTTAAAAAATTTAATGTCCATTTAATAAAAACCAAAAAAATCCACATAAAATCACGTTCATGCCAAATAACTACGTAATAAAAAAAGTTAATACTCGGGTCCTTATATAAGAAAACATCACAATATACATGAGTATCAAACAAATCAAACCCTAACTCAAAGTGCGGGCATGGCAATTCTACCAATCCATTTACCTAAATTGAATATAGCAAAAATGAAACTTGAAGGTTGGATAGACTCCAATCATGAGTGTAATGAAGCAAGGTTATATCGCTACACTGAATTTTCAAACAAATGGATTTGGCATCAAAAAATTTAAGAAGTGGCTCTCTCGTATGCGCAACAGAAAAATAATGTTTCCTACAATATCAGCCTTCCAGAAGTTTTAGAAGAATATTGTGAGCTTTTCTACCTTAAAATGTTGCTAAATGTTCAGAGAGGACCAGTATGTTTCAAAGATATCAGGACAGTAAACAGAGTTTTATATCTAACCTTCGCTGAAACATGTCTTGCAGTATGGTTAGTTGAAGCACTTGATGCTTAAGTGGAGATGGTCTTGCAATTATTTGTAGAGTCTATTTGATAAAATTATAAGTAGAAAAATCGCACATATGAATAGATCGAGATCAACAAGACGGAATCATTGAAGAAATGATGCTTTAAATTGAAGAAGATTATAGGAAGATAAAGAAAATGAAAAATGTTTGTTCAAAAAAAAAAGACAGAGAAGATAAAATTTGCAGCCTAATCAGCAAATCCGAAGAAGGTAACAAACTATCCACGGGTTTAACCCATTTGACCATTTAACATAGCGGGTCAAGTTTTACAAAACATGTTCATAGAAAAATAATTTTGTGTTTTCCAAATTTAATTATTATTTTTTAAGTCTGTCTCAAAATATAAATGAACATTTTATTATAAAAAATGTTTATATAAAATTAGATTATATTTTACTATTAAATTAAAAGTCTTATAATTTAAAACACTAACCTTGAGTTTCATAAACTACAAAAAATTAAAATATCTAAGACGGATTTAAGTATTGTATTTAGATAATTACATTTTTAAAATTGTTCATGCCCGCACATGCGTGCGGGCCAATATCCTAGTATTACTTATTACGAAAGTCACGTAATTGACTAAGTTTTATTATTAGTTTTGCAAAACTAGAAGTTTTCCATATTACTATGTCGGTTTAGAATTCTTATATAAGGATTTGTATTAAGTTTTTTAACGATATCAATAAACAAGTTTACGAACTCTCCTTCTTCTCTTATCTTCTTTATCAAGTTACGCTCAACTTCAACAAAGAATCAAGGTTCTTTGTGATTGAGTACAGGATCCGTGTTTTAGGAACATTGGTTTCGGGTTCTATCAAGTTATTTGACAGATCGCAGTTTATCTCTATCAGTATCTACCTCGATTAATCTCTTAGAAATCACCAATTTTAATCTCCAATTGTAGATTTGACTTATGCGAGCTTCTTTGCAGAAATCAAACACGCAAAGAAAAGAGATGGGAAGAAGAAAAAAGAAGAGTCGAGTGAGGAAGAAGAAGGCTATGATTGGTAAACGTTGTGGAATGACTGAATGGCGAAAAAGGCAATTCGGCTAAAATTTTGCCAATCAGAAAAACATGCGGAAAAATTCAAAAACTCGAGTTCTATGAAATCACAGAAATACTTACAAAAAATACAAAAAACTTGATTAAATAGAAAAGTGTGTTTTACATAGATTATTTGCGGAATCAATATTTTATATCATCAAACGCTTCTAATGTCTCTTCCTATGCCTCCTCAACCAGCGACATTGCCGCAAACCTTCTCCCGACGATGCTGCCACTTCTGACGTCTCTTGCTCTGCCTCCTCATCTAGTCGTGGACTTTTTTGGAAGAATAATTTGGTTAACTCTGATGAAAAATGTTATAGAACAGAATTTTTTAGGGTATTAGTGTATATTAGGAACACAAATTTAAATTATGCATATTTGAAGGCATTTTTTAAAATTATGTAACAAATTGTATTTTATAATTTAAATAAATACAAATAATATATTATACTATATATTTATATAATGACCAGATTATATCTATAGTTTAAAATTTACAATATTTTAAATTTTTATGTATTTTATGTTAATAAAAAATCACAATAAAAATAAATATCTTTAAAATTATATTAAAATTATTATATTTTCTTATAATAATTAATATATTAATTTTTATGATATTAAATAATATATAAAATATGTTGTAAATAAGAATTTAATTTTAAATATTTATATTTTGCCATTCTGTCATTCCCAGAATTATCCAATCACATCAAAAAATGTATTCCGCAATTTCACAAAAGGTCATTCCGCAACCTAATTTTTCCGCCATTCCATAATTTTATTGTGTTACCAATCGAAGATAGGAATCGGTTTAATAGCTGAGGATCTATGGTTTAGTCATCGTAAACTTAAACTAATCGGTTTATAATATGGTTTCGATTATAAACCAAAACCGTACCGAAACCAAAACTGAATTGAATTTTCTATTAAACACAAATTCTTTTAAATTCATGTGTTATTAGATTAAATATTTGAAATCATTCTTCTAAATTATTTTAAATTCTAGTGTTATTCAATTTAGTAATTTCTAATTCCATTAATTGTTGGTATTATATAATTTTAGTACTCTTCTTTAAAAGATTTAATAAAATTTCAATGAAAAGTTGTAAAGAACTCATTCTTACCATTTTTGCTAGTTTAACTTTGCAAAAAAACTTTAAATTATTTCAAAATCAATCATTTTCTAATTTTTTATATTCTCTTAAAATCATTCATCTTGGTTTCGGTACGGTTCAGGTTTATAATCGAAACCAAATTACAAACCGATCACTTTAAGTTTACCAAATTACAAACCGATCGGTTTAAGTTTACGATGACTAAACCATAGAACAATACATCTCAAGTCTGCGGCACACATAAAACAACAACAGTAAAGTCTTAAACTGCATCGATCGGTTTGTAATTTGGTTTCGGTTATATATATGAACAGAACAGAACCAAACCGAAAAACCCCAAACTGGAAGAGTGCCAGTTTTGTAACTTCTTTACCATCTCAAGTTATCTTCAAACGACAAATCGTCTACACAATAACATTTCAAGACTGCGTAACATAACATGTAACTTAAACGGGTCCAAATTACGATTATAAACATAATATATAACTTAAACAGCTTCAGATTATACAACTAACCACAACAGTTGAAGAGTAGGACAGTAAACGAAGTAAGATAATCACCAATTAAACACAAGTCTGCATGCGGTTGAAGCTCGAGGAGAACGTGCAAGCTCCTGTATCATGTCAAGTGTCTCAACCAAATAATCTTTAGATAAGATTGTTGCAGTCTTTAAGCAGTGAGCGTTTTGTAAGATATAAACCGCGACATCTCTCTCTTTGGGTATTCCCAAGTATCCCGAAAACTCAAAAGTTTGGAGACTCGACAACATACATTGAGGAACACTACTTGGTGGATTCCATGAAAGTCCATCACCATAATCACTAGGGGTGTCATCCTGAGTGATGAAGCACAAGAATCAGATTTTACAACCATTATAGACCAATATAAAACCAAATAGTTTGTCGAAAGAAACTTACATCCATTCTAAAGAGATCTAGTTTTCGTAAGTTAGGCGAATCTTTGAGCTTGTTGAAGACAAAACCATGTACATAGTCTCAGATGTACAAGCTTGCGATACATACGAATATTCGTCGCATGTACATAGTCTCAGATGTACAAGCTTGTTGAAGACAAAACCATCACCGAACACATGCTGCTCCTGCGCACAGTAGGAAGATTCTTTAAAATGAGATTCAAGACAATGGTGTTGATAAAGAAAGAAAACTGATTACCATTGGATCATCTTCTACTAGGCATAACGTGAGATGCTTGACAGATGTGATTGATCCGATGAGCCTCTCCATGTAAGGAAAGGCAACATCTATATATGCTTTCTTTAGCTTAGGCATACTCTCAATCAAACAGTAGTGACTCGTAGAGTTGAAATAATCAAGTTTCAAGTACTTCAAAGAAGGAGTATTTATCACAAACTCATCTAAATCACTAGGTATATAGATCACTAGTGTACGCAAAGTGAGCTTCCCCATATTGTCACCTACACTTCCATCTACCATTAGATTCTCAAGAACAGGGCAAATAGAAAGAAGCCGTCGAAGAGAATCTCCATTGAAGTACGTCACATCTTCAAGTCGCAAAGTTTTCAGAGAAGGAAGACAAACCATACGAGGAACATCCACGAGAATCTTTCCTTTGAGTTTCAAAGTCACGAGTGGTTTGCAGGTATACAAGCTACTAGGCAAAATGTCCGCCATATCAAGATAAGAAGAACAAGTAATCTCTAGCCTACGTAAGCGAGAAAGTGTAGATAGAACCCAAAGTTTTATATCTTCTGGTTTAAGATGTGAACAAAAGAAGCTGAGACGAAAGCTTTCTATAACGGGAGCTCTATGTAATGGCAGATTTCTGTTGAGAAAACACTGTAACCTCTTGCTTTCAGACTCTGAATAACATCTAATACTGTACTCGAGTTTAGGCAACCACATCCAAAGAAACTCCCATTGTTTCGACAAGAGCTAGTGGACACAACAGCTTTTGTTGGAAGAAAGGATAATATTTTAATCAGCAATTCATCAGACAACCCACTTATGTTGCCCATCTGAGTCCTGACATGATAAACAAGAAAACACTGTAAGACTCAAAAAGAGCTTTGTGTGAAGGCAACCAAACAATTTAGTAAGTAGAGTAGAAAACATAAAAGGTAATGTTTTAATTTTATAAGAATACATGATGAAATAAAATCCAGAAATTGAAAATCTTCAAGCTTTGCTAACGAAACAAGTCTAACTAAAATCTAATCAATTGCCGATTAGCTTAAGAAAGATTCAAGCAAATCCTGCGGGGTATGCTTTGTATGTAATCACATTCCCTGGTAAAATCTATGACGATCAATCATATTTATTGTTACCTTGATTACTCTTTGAAGATCAAGAAACGGTGACGGAAATGTGAGATCTAAAGACTATATAAGTCGAGTGAGGAGTGAGGAGTGAGGAGTAAGAAGAAGAGATAGATTAGGAATCTAGGGTTTAGTTAAGTTTTAAACCAAACCGATCGGTTTGTATTTGGTTTCGGTTAAAATTCCTAACCGAACTGAAAACCCAACTCTTTACAACCAATCTCAAATGATTCTGAAAAGTGAAAAGTCTTTTGCCGATTAGCTTAAGAAAGATTCAAACATTTCTTGCGGAATCAATCTGCTTTTTTTCTATCTCCAATCACGTTTCATGGTGAATCTACATGATCAGTCATATTGTCAACCCTATTTATCTCTGGAGAATCGCCAATTGTAGATTTGACCTCTTCCATCTTCTTTGCAAAAATCAAACACGAGAAGAAGAGAGGCTGAGTCGAGTGAGGAAGAAGAAGATAATCGGTTGAATAGCTGAAGACCTACGGTTTAGTTTATATACCTGAACCGAACCGAAAGCCAATTTCAATTTGTAACTTCTTTACCATCTTTTAAGTTGTCTTCGAGTGGCACAAATCGTCTACACAATCACGACTGCAAATCCATTACAGAACAAGTTAAAAAAAAAGAGTCAAAAGCCAATCAAAAGATCAAATTTAGGTCTTTCATTCGGTTAGACTAACTATGGTCATAGATATAATTAAGTATGTAACTTAAACAGCTCCAGATGATTTGGAACTAATCACATAAAGTACAAAACTTATCATGTAACTTAGTTAAGTTGGGAAATATCTTGGATTACTTGAACATTTGGGAAGAAAGAAGAAAGATCTCTTCACAGCAATAGTATCCATCGTTTATCTCTTTGCCTTGATTTTCAATCGCAAATTCTCTCCAAAACTCAAACTGTTGTCGGATGGCTTTATTTTTCATTTATACTGTAATTTCCTTGTCTTAATGGGCCTTGTATGTCTTGGGGATTGACTATTTGCTTGAACGTTGACAATCGAGGGTTACCTCCGGGGGATAGGCAGCTCCCCAAAGGTTACGACATCTCTGTCGTTTTTGCAATTGAGGAGGAGTTGTGCCAATTTGGGCAGACCATTCCCTGTTCTGAGGTGCCAGGCCTTATATTCTTCCGTCGATAGGTTGGTCATAGCGTTAGTATCGTCTATGGGCTGGCTCTGGCTTGACTTTACTAGACAGGCTCGGAGTGACCTCTAGACGGCTTGACATTTCATTCTCCTGGGGCGCTCGGACTTGGTTGGTGGATCCTCCTTTTTCTTCCGGTGGGGGCGAGTCGAGGATCTTTCAAGAACTGGTGTTTGGACTGCTTCACGAGCATGGTCTACTTGGTGCAGGCAATCTACCCCCATCATACGCGGGATGGAATTTTGCCCGGGACACCTTACTATTTCTGCATCTTGAACTCGCTGGTTCGTTCTTTGCACTTCAAGCGGCCTTTTCTCGAGTGGGAAGGTTCATGGACAAATCCTTGGAACTCTCTCCTAGTAGTCCTACGGATTTGAATGCCCATCTTTGTGATCTCTTTCAGGGAACATCGGTGTCCCCTATCAGGGATAACGATGTTATGGCTGCTTTGGGCTTCATGGTCATTTTTCAGGATTTTTTTGGTTGAGAGGCGTTGCTCCTAGATTCCTTCAGTCTTTTACGGCTACATCAGATGCTAGTCTTTTTTCATTTTTCTAACGCCAAATATTTGAGAGCATTTTAGGTGATGTGTGTAGGAGTTGTGTGTTCGTTGTCTGGGTGAACTCCATCTCACGTGTTTGTCCACTGGGAGATGAATAGTGTCCATGTAATTTGATGAGCCTGCCATCTGGTACCTAGAAACAACTTATTAAACGGTGAGTCAGGCTACGAGAGGACATGAAAATGGTTTTCCTCCCGAAGGTTTTCCGACGTCCAAGTTAGAAATGTCTTACTGGAAACAAATACTCTGAAAGGTAGATTTAAGGTTGGTTTTGTGGCTGCATTGTTAACTTAAAATATATTAGTTGTGGTTTGTATTCAATTGTTTTTGAAACAAATATGTTATAGATTCGTTTAAATAAATAAATATGTTATATGCATATGATAGATGATATTTATCAATGCTTTATTAAAAATAAAAGATAATTAAGTGTAGAAAATAAATAAACTAACGAAAAAAGAAAAGATAAAAAAGTATTTAAACTAAAAATATCTCACATCAAGGAAAATGTGATTTGAAACATTCCTTATAAATAGTGCATCATTTTGTCAACTAAAATTCAGTTGGGAAAGATATTCGAAAAATTATATTTTTCAAAATAAAATAAAAAACAATATTAAACATCTAAATTACAAACAAAATAAAAATCATCTAGAAAGAAAGTAACTCATATTTATGCTAACTCTTTTAAAAATCATCAAACAGCCTAACTAACAAAAAAACATATGTCGTTTGAAAATATAAGTACTTTAAAAGAATCGTATATGTCAAAATAAAATAAATTAATCTTATTAGTAATTAAATATAATTATTAAGTTACAATATATGTAGACATGTTTTCTCTTTCATTTTTAACCAAGTAACGATGTGGGATAAAGTACAAAATATTGGTTACTGATATGAGTAAAGTTTCACCCAAATCACTACAAGTGCACAACAAGACAGTTATAATATGAGAGGTTATCAAATCCCAAAAGAATTAAGGTTGTTGCACAGTAGACTTCAGGTTTGAATGTAGCTAAGCGAATTGATGTAATGTAAAATGAAACAATTAAATTAAAGCAGCAGATGTTTGTAGGTTCTTAAAACAAGAGACAAGGCGCTAGGCAATGGAAAATTTGCAGGTTGACTCAAATCGGAGATCACAAACTGTTAGGATAATTTATAGAACCTTTCTAGAACTTGAAAACACGAATGTAAAACCAATCAACTTCTGTTTCAGAGATTTTCTATGATTAAATCCTGAAATTCCAAATTCCTTTGCAAAGTCAAACAATTTAAACAAGCATTAAAGTTCAAGTTTGATTTGTTCACAAATCCCTAACCCAAATTCTTTTGCGATTATATACTTTGCTCATCTAAGATAGTTCTGGTAATTAATAATGTTTCCACATCTATTAAACATCATAAGATCTGATTTCTAGGTGATCAATCTTAAAACCAGTGTTTAAAGCAATCTAAATGAAGAACCAAAAGATTTATCTTAACAGTTATGCAGCTCTAACGATTCATTATCAACCTTTGAATAACCCAAAACCTAACAAGCAGATTACTCAAACATGGTGAATAGAGAAAACATCATGAAAGAAATAACTTGCATAAAAGAATAGAGTAAAGATACAGAGGTGTTCGAAATTCTACTCTAACAGAGTATGCATTTGTCTCTTCAAAAGCTCTTGATCTAATCTCTTTCTCTAAGTCTCAATAAAAATAAGATAATGGCCTAACAATGGCTCTAAAAACCTAAATACACGTCTAAGCATGAATGGGGCAAGTTTGTAAATAATGGAAAGCTCATGGGCCAAGTTGCAATTCTTCAAAGATCTTTTAAAACTCCACTTCACGTCCACGATTGGTGTTGCTCGACACAAATGGTGTGGTGTCGCTCGACACCAGACATCAAACATGTCTCCGAGTTGGTCTTTTCAGCAACAACTTCAATATAGCTCCAAAATGCTTCCAAATCTCCAATTATGCTCTAAACGTACCTAAACATGTAAAGACTAGAAAAGACTCGAAAATAGCAAAATGTTTCTACAAACAAGACCTTTGTCATGGTTAAAAACCCATAAAAACTATGATATATCAGTTACATCAGTTTTAACTTGATATAAAATTTATATTATTTTTTAAGTGATGTTAATAAAAATTATTGATTACATCGATTATTTAAATGATGTGAATTCATAATTTTATATCAGTTTTGTTTAACTGATGTAAACTGAAGTCAAATAATCAATAAAAACATCAACTATCATAACTGATGTTAAATCAGATATTTGTATCATTTATTAATAAGTAACTTAAAATTAATATCATTTAGTTTTGTGATACAATTTAAATGATGTAATTCACTTCTTTTTTGTAGTGCTTACAGATTGAACTCCATAGAAGTGTACATGCTATCCTCTTCTTTTCTTAAACACATAATTAGATATTACACTTTTCTTTTACAATAAGAAAATTGATAAAACACCATATCTAAATTAAAAAAATAAAATCAATATAAACTGGGGATAATAGATTCTTAGGTACATAATATTAATCAGATATTCAATCAACTAACTAAAGATTCGAATACATAAACCTTAGAGAAAAAAATTTCAGTTTGTTTCCGAACTCAAAGGCAGCAGCTTGGAAAATTACTTGTAATATTTATTTCACGAAAAAATTAAAAGTGATCTTTTTTTTTGTATCAAAAACTACTACAAAAATCTCAAAGAAAAAAAATCACCATGATCTTAGCAAAAAAGCTATTCTTCTCTAAATTAAACATATATGTTTTACGATCACATCGAAGTTGGACAATTCAATAGACATCATGAATCTTTTATAAATAGAAGAGGAACTGAAATGGTATATGAAATTGGCACGCCATCAAACGCATTTGATGTAGATGAGAGATTAAATATAAACTAAATGGTTATGGTAGCTTATTAGAGTATAATGAAAGTAGGTGATAAATATGTTACAGAATTGCACAATTTTTTATGAAAAATATAAAAACATATTGAAATATATAATAGAAATATATATATTAAAAAAGTATTTGTTTCACTTTTCTAAAATATCAAATAATTCTAGAGATAATAGATGCTTATGATCTTAGCAAAAAAAAATTCTTATATTAATTAAACTAGGTGATCGTCCGCATAAGCCGTATGCAGGCTACAAAATATTTTATATGTTCAATATATGATTAATATAGTATATTGATGATGCTTTATTTGTATATAATTAAATATGTATTAATAATAACATTATATAAACATTTAATAATAAAAAATAACGATAAATCAAATGCAAAATATTATACATTTCAATATAAATTGAAGATAAAAAATATTAACCAAGATTTTAAAATACTTTATTAGATAAAAAGTGTAAATAAGATAACTAAATAAAGTGCAAAACATTAAAATATATAACAATTTATTTAATTTTTATTTTTGGTCTGCACACATGTGCCGATATAAGTTTTTTATAGACATAGTTAATTGTAATATTTATTATTGATTAATTTTCTTATATATTATGTAAATATTATGTTTTTATACATATACAGTTTTAGTGTTTAACAACAATCACACAAACGTTTCATATTATTTTATGTCTTTTAATTTTTTTTATTGTTTTTAGTATTTACAGTATCATATAATTACAAATATAAAATTTATATTAAATAATAATTAAATTATTATAATAAGTTTTAAATATTATCTAATTACTATACTTTCTTTTTCTCCTTACACAATCTAATCTTGCCAATGTATATATTTAAGTGAATTTTATCATCTTTACTTAAATCAAAATGGTTTTTTTTTAATCATTTTTACTTATCCTAAGAGCGGGTAGATGGTTGGCCCGCACATTCGTACATACTAACCATCTCACCGCTTTTAGGACATATAAAGATTTTTTTAAAAAATATATAAATTGGCTAATAACTAAAATTAAAACTAGACTGTAATCAATGTTAAAAAAATAAATGCACGACAAGTTCGCATGCAACTTTGACTTTTGCACAATTAATATTTATATCTACCCGCATATTTGTGAAACAATCGAAGTATGACATTTGTGTGTTAAAAAAATAACAAAATATATATTTTTATAATGTATGGTTGAATTTTGTTTTTTTTTTAAATAATACATATATTTATGCATGTAGATATGAGTTAAAAATAAATAAATTGTAATATTTAAGTGTTGGTTTTTACACGATGTATAATACATATATTTATGCATTGTTATGTTTTTACACGATGCAGTTTTTGGCGTTTAACAACAATCACAAAAATCATTTATATCTTTTCGTATTTAATCAATTTTTTTTTTTATTTTTCAGCATTTGATGATGTATGGGTTCTCAATAAAAAAACATAATAAAAATTATTATAAAATTCTCTTGTAGCTCTCCGCTCTTCGTCAAATTTTATATCGTCCGCAATCACTCGCTTCCATAAACTCTTTGTAACAGCATCGTTCAAACAGTCAGATCTAAACTTATATGTGTGTTATTTAAGGTGTAAAATAATATATTTAATATTTGACTGTTATATTAAAAATTATGAGCTCTTCAGTTCATAATATTGATGAATCACAACATATACAAAACTTGATTCATCAAATAATATTTTAAAACGCTAAAGAAATACATGCATGAAAAGAATTAATATGTGTAAGAAAATATTTTAAAATTTTTCAAATAAACTTATAAAATCGATCAAAATTATTCTTCTTTATTTTTTTACTCATTTTTTTTCTGAACTCTTACTAATATATTAAATATTAAGATCATCTAGGTGGACTTTTCTAAAATGTAGGTGGATTTCTTTCCAAACTATTTCTATTTTACAGGAAAAAGAATGATTGTTACTTTTTCCACCAACTGTAGAGGAAAGAATGACATCTCTATTTTCCTTCATTAGAAGACTTAAAATAAATGTGGGTTAGAGATGGTTTAAACCAAAAATATTGCTTGAGATTTTTTACAAAAAACTAAAGTCGTAAAGATTTATTTTTACTTTACTTCTACTTCTTATTCATATATACAATATTATATATAAAAACATTTGCTAAGAAAATACTTATAATTTTATTTGTTTTATTTATAATTTTGAATTCTTACTATATAATGAGAATGCATTCACATATTATATAATTTTTTATTATTTAAAAATAAGAATTATTTAGTTTTAACTTAACCAATCAAAATATTTCATTTATTTTAGGAAATTTGCCACGTCACATTTTCAGGTTATTATTAATTTACACATTAGCTTTTTTATAATACCTGCTTCTCAAATAATATTATGTATATTTTACGACCACATCAAGATTGGACAATTCAATAATTGTCATAAATCTTTTATAAGTGGAAAAGAGATCCAAATAAAAATGTTAAAATAGTAGGCCATCAAATGCAATTAATATAAATAAAAAATAAAAAATTAATTAATAATTATCGTCGCTGATCTTTATAAAATAGAACTGAGTAATAGATATGTTGCTAAAATTACTAAAAAAATATTAAATATACAACATAGACATATATTATAAAAAGTTATGAAAAGAAAATATATGTAAATTCATTTTTAATAATTTAAAATTATTAACAAAATTAAAAATTTAGAGCAAATTAATAATATAGACATGCCTGTAATATGGACGAAAAATCTAATTTGACTAGAAAATTGGCATGAACTCCTTGTCAAAAAAGAATTCACTACTACAGTTATTTTATTTCACCATTTGAATACAAATCTTTACACATATTTGATATTTTACTTCTTTTCGAATTAACTTTTTTATAAACCGAACAAAAACTTTCAAATCCAAAAACTTTAAAACTGAACACATGAATACATGATTATCGGTCAGTCAACAATATATCCCATTGTTATTGGATAATAGATAAAAGCTAGAATTTTGAAGAAGACGAAACATACGAGCATAGCAAATAGCAAATAGCAGAGTTGAAAAACTAGACATTCTTTAAATACATAGTTGGTACCTTCAAGTATCTCTCTAATTATTTCTATCGAAGACATTCTTATGCCTCAATATGATTCTCGTCCTCATTAAATACGAGTTCGCATGTGCTTGAAGCTCGGGTAGAAAGTGCCAACTCTTTGATCATCTTAATGCTTGGAACATCATATTCCACTGAATCAGCCAAGATTACTGCCTTCTTTAAGCAACGAGCGTTCTTCAAGATGTACACCGCGAGATCTCTGTCTTGTGGTCTCCCAAAGTATCGTAACCATTTAAAAACTTGAAGACTCGACAACAAGCATTTAGGAACATGACTCGGTTCATTCCAGCAATCCATATCACTACACTCCTCCTCATCCTCATGATCCTGAGACGAATACCAAGCAGCATAGTTAGATTAAACCCATACTGCACATTGCACACTAGATCCACCAAAAAAAAAAAAAGTTCATCGAAGAAACTTACTTCCCTTCTGAAGAGTTGTAGTACTCGTAAGTTAGGAGAATCTTTTAGCAATTGGACAAGGAGATTCGAAGAACCCTTTTGGCAAACACATATAGTCAGATGTTCAAGCTGGTTGAAAACTAAACCATCACCATACACATGATCCTACATATGCATATCTCTGATTCATTATTCATTCAAAGCCATATCAAATTTTTAAATGAGATAGAAATCTTGCAATATGATAAAAGAAAATGAATTACCTCTGAACATATTGTAAGATGCTTGACGGATGTGATTGATTTAATCACATTCTTGAGAGCAAAGAAATAATCATTGACATATGCTTCACTCAGCTTAGGCATATCTTTAATCTCAAAGTCGTGTTCAACGTAATCCCAATCGTCAAGATAGAAAAACTTCAAAGAAGGAGTATCTATCACATACCTATTTATATATATTTCAGGTAGAAAGAGTGATAAACACTGCAAAGTCGGGACGATTATAGTGAACGCATTTAAATTGTAATCATCACAATGCACATCCAGTTCTTCAATAACAGGACATATATCAAGAAGGCGTTGAAGAGTTGCATCATCTGCGTATGTAACACAATCAAGTTGCAAATCTTTCAGAGAAGGGAGACAAGCCATTGAAGGAGCATCCCTCAGAACCACACCACTGAGTTTTAAGATCACGAGAGATTTGCAGGTGTAAAAGCTGCTCGGTAATACGTTTGAATCATCTGAATAACGAGTAATTTCCAGCTCACGTACATGGCGAGAGACTGCAATTTCAACCCACCATTTGATATCTTCAGCATTAGAATCTCTTAACTCGAAACACAATTTTTCTATGACCGGAGCTCTATGCAAAGGCATGTTCTTGTCAATAAAATTCCGAAGAAGTCCATAATTATCAATATCTGTACTAGTACTCATGTAGTTAAGTTCAGGCAACCACATCCAAAGAAACTTCCATCGCTTAGACAAGATGCTAGTGGATGCAGCGTCTTTTGTTCCAACACAAGATAATATCTTCACCAGCAATTCATCGGGCAATCCACTGATTCTGTCCATATTTTACAAACTCGAGATACTGTTACTCTATACAAACTTGAATTTTCTCTCCCCTAAAATAGAAAATCACATCGTAAGACAATAGGATTTTTCTGAAGCCAAATAAACGAAATAGTAACAAAAGAAAACAAAGCAACACCCACTAACATAACAAAAACTAAGAAAAACGTAAAATATTAAAAGGTAGAACAGGACCCCACACTCTAGAAGAAATTAAAACGGAAGATTCTCTTCACAAAATGCGAAAGCATTTGTTTGACACTATAAGTACCCATTTCACTTATCTGAATAACAATGATAATAATCCAAAAATACTAATCCAAAATAAAAGTATTCTAGAAAACGACAAAAAAGTAAAAGGTGTAGATAGAATATCAGAAGAAATCAAACCTTTGTTTTGAAAAAGCACCCACATAATCGCTGTGATTACTTTAGTCTTACTAATCTGTTAGAGCAATTTACTCCATGTAATGTAGAGGCTTAAAATCAATTTAGTCACACATTTTTAATTTTTCTTTTTTTACTAAATTTATACCCAAAAGTTAGAATGAGTTTGACTTGAAAGTCGTTATTATTTGTAGCAGATCTAGTTGATAGATGTTTTTTACAATTGTCGATGTGAGACTATTTTTTTGAAGATATATACGCCATATATACATGTTCTACTATGACGATATTTTTTTGATCAATCATCCCAAAACCTTAGCTTTTCATAACTAATAAATAGAAGCCATGTGTCATATCAATTACTATTAATGTGATACTATTTTTTAGAAGATTATATAAGCCACATATGCATGTTTTACAGTGATAATATCTTATTCGACCAATCATCATAAATTCTTAGCTTTTTGTAACCAATTAATAGAAACTATGTGTCATATCCAACCTGTACCACTCTCATTTTTACAAAGCATTTACATGGATATAATTTAATATTTAATTTCATTATAAATAACCTTTTCATTATCATATTTTCAAAAATTTATTATATCACATAATATGATAAACATTATTTATTTTTATGGCACTGCATCATTTTCCAATCTATTTTACATCATATATATATATATATATATATATACCTATCATTTTTAAATAAAACATCACTTCACCTTTAGCATTTTTATTTTATTAAATTATATTTGTCTATTTTTACATTTTTTATCTTTATTTATTTTCTATTTATGAGTTTTCTTTTCCTATCATTTTTCTCTATCTCTCCTCCTCCATTTTCACTATTGTTGAATCCAACAATATCAAAAATCACAAGTTTCCAAAAAAAATTAAAACTCATATTCACTATCCTTATTTTCTTACATCTATATCTCACATCTCTCTTATTTCTTCTTTTTCTTTATATTCAGATCTTTTTGGTATCAATCTAATTTATAATTATACTTTTGTATATCTAATTTTATTGGGATGCTTCTTAGAGAATCATCAAAATAAAAAAACGACAACGTTTCATACAATAGTTTGCACCAGCGCCTCTATCAGCACATTCACGGCAACTCCTCTTTCTATTTCTCCATACTATCTGTAATTCTGTATATATAGAATTATACACATTGATCACACCACCTAGTTCAAGAGCACAATGTTTCGCTAATCCCTCTGCGCCCAATCCGCATGTCCTTTATTTCTAAACATCTTGGGTTGATGTTGATTGGGAGAGGGTTCCTTTCCAAGTCTCTTAATTGTGATGATAAATTTTTCAAACCAAATACATCATTTATAAATCTTTAGCATTTTAATGTACGTATGTTATGTTGACACTGTTCCGTATATTAAATTAAACTATTTCATCTTATGTCTTTTAGTATTTCTATGTAGATATGTTTAAATTTTGTGTACGACTAAATTGTGTACGTATGTAAAATTTTTCACATTTATTAATAATTAGGTGGTTGGTCTATATATATGTGTAGCCATGAGAATTCTGATAAGAAAATAAATAATAATATTTATTATTTATAATAAATAAGTAATTGACCTGTCTAATAATATATTTGTAAAGAGTAAAACTAAATTCATTGTAGAGTAACTAAATAAAGTTTAAAACACCAAAAATTATAACTATTTACAAATTAGTATAACTAAAAAACTATGGATAACTCAATATATTTTTGGCGGCGTCCATGTAAACAAAAAATAGCCCACATGTCAATTTGGCAGCGCACTTGTTTTAGAGGTGGAGTTTTCATTTTCTTTTGGTATTTCAGCATAATGTTTCCTGGTTTGGAGTAACCATTTGGAATTGGGATTCTAGAGATTTGCTTTCACTTTTCAGATCCACTTCTCTTCTCTTTCTCATCCTCTCGTTTCTTCTTCTCGAGGAACCGTCCTTTTTTTCCTCCTTCCCCATTGCAGCGATATCTGGTTTTCAAGCTTCAGGGTACCTCGACTTTTAATATAACTGCACACATGTGTTCTTCCTCTCTGGTTGGTCTAGGGTGGGCAAAGAAATTCGTATAGGGTTTGCACAAAGTAATTCACGATTTATATTCATCTAGGGTTCGAATACATAGTTTGTTTCTGAACTCAAAGGCAGCAACTTGGAAAATTATTTGTAGTATTCGTTTCAAGACAAAATTAAAAGCGACCAATTTTATAGCAAAACTATTACAAAAATTGCAAGGAAAAAATATCACCACGATCTTGCAAGAAGACTATTCTTCTCAAAATTAAACATGCATGCTTTATGATCACATCGAAGTTGGACAATTTAATAAGCGTCATGTATCTTTTATAAATAGAGGAGGAACCCAAATGGTATTTGAACATGGCAGGTCATCAAACGTTTGATGTAGATGAGAGATTATATAAAAATTAAATGGTGATGGTGGCTTATAATAGTAGAATGATAGTATTTGAGAATAGCAATAACTTTTTTATGAAAAATAGAAAAATGTATTATAATATACAATATAAATATATATTGAAAGGGTATTTGTTTCAGTTTTCTAAAATGTTAAACAATTCTAGTGATAATAGATGCTCAGGATCTTAGCAAAAAAATATTTTACTCATAATTAAAGTTTTACGATCACATCAAGATTGGACAATTGGAATTTAAACATAGTAGACCATCAAATGCACTTAATGTAGATAGAAGAATACAAAACTAGTTAATAATTATCATGTCTGTTCTTGATAAAATGGAAATGGTTATGAAACATGTTGCTGGAATTGCTGAAAAAATATTAAAATATACAACATAAACATATATTATAAAAATTTATGAAAAGAAAATTTATATAAAAAATATGCTTTTAATATTTAAAGTAGATAATAAAAATAAAATTTAGACCAAATTAATAATATAACATGTGTATAGCGTGGATGAAAAACATAGTTTGACTGGAAAGTTGGCATGAACTCCTTGTCGATAACATTTTTTTGAAGAGAATGTTAAATTATATTCAAACCAAAAAAATCGTTGTTACATCAGAAGCAGCTTTAGTTTAGAAAGATCTAAAGAGACAGAGATTTTAAATATAGCTTAATAATAGCTAGTGAGAGAGACTATCAGCTTCTATCAGCTTCGAGCCGCAAACCACTTGGCGAGTGCATCCTCATATCTTGGGTCCAACCTCCAAATCGAGGATATTCTGTTCCGTACGGCTTTGTCGATGAGTTGTGTGATTCTTGGAACTTTTTTTTATTAAATCTGTTTCTCAAATAATATTATGTATATTTTACGACCACATCAAGATTGGACAATTCAATAACTGTCATAAATCTTGTATAAATAGAAAAGAGATCCAAATAAAATTTTAAAAATAGTAGGCCATCAAATGCATTTAATGTAAATAAAAAAAAGTTAATTAATAATTATCGTGGCTGATCTTTATAAAATAAAACTGAGTAATAGATATGTTGCTAAAATTACTATAAATATATATTAAATATACAACATAAATATATATATTATAAAAAAAATTATGAAAAGAAAATCTATGTAAATTCATTTTTAATAATTTAAAGTTATTAACAAAATTAAAAATTTAGAGCAAATTAATAATATAGACATGCCTGTAATACAGACGAAAAATCTAATTTGACTAGAAAATTGGCATGATCTCCTTGTCAAAAAAGAATTCACTACTAACCTTATTTTATTTCACCATTTGAATACAAATCTTTACACAAATTTGATATTTTACTTCTTTTCGAATTAACTTTTTTATAAACCGAACAAAAACTTTCAAATCCAAAAACTTTAAAACTGAACACATGAATACATGATTATCGGTCAGTCAACAATATATCTCATTGTTATTGAATGATAGATAAAAGCTAGAATTTTGAAGAAGACGAAACATACGAGCATAGCAAATAGCAAATAGCAGAGTTGAAGAACTAGACATTCTTTAAATACATAGTTCGTACCTTCAAGTATCTCTCTAATTATTTCTGTCGAAGACATTCTTATGCCTCAATATGATTCTCGTCCTCATTAAATACGAGTTCGCATGTGCTTGAAGCTCGGGTAGAAAGTGACAACTCTTTGATCATCTTAACGCTTGGAACATCATATTCCACTGAATCAGCCAACATTACTGCCTTCTTTAAGCAACGAGCGTTCTTCAAGATGTACACCGCGAGATCTCTGTCTTGTGGTCTCCCAAAGTATCGTAACCATTTAAAAACTTGAAGACTCGCCAACAAGCATTTGGGAACATGACTCGGTTCATTCCAGCAATCCATATCACTACACTCCTCCTCATCCTCATGATCCTGAGACGAATACCAAGCAGCATAATTAGATTAGAACCATACTGCACAGTGCACACTAGATCCACCAAAAAAAAAAAATAGTTCATCGAAGAAACTTACTTCCCTTCTGAAGAGTTGTAGTACTTGTAAGTTAGGAGAATGTTTTAGCAATTGGACAAGGAGATTCGAAGAACCCTTTTGGCAAACATATATAGTCAGACGTTCAAGCTGGTTGAAATCTAAACCATCACCATACACATGATCCTACATATGCATATCTCTGATTCATTATTCATTCAAAGCCATATCAAATTTTTAAATGAGATAGAAATCTTGCAATATGATAAAAGAAAATGAATTACCTCTGAACATATTGTAAGATGCTTGACGGATGTGATTGATTTAATCACATTCTTGAGAGCAAAGAAATAATCATTGACATATGCTTCACTCAGCTTAGGCATATCTTTAATCTCAAAGTCGTGTTCAACGTAATCCCAATCGTCAAGATAGAAAAAATTCAAAGAAGGAGTATCTATCACATACCTATTTATATATATTTCAGGTAGAAAGAGTGATAAACACTAGTGAACGCATTTAAATTGTAATCATCACAATGCACATCCAGTTCTTCAATGACAGGACATATATCAAGAAGGCGTTGAAGAGTTGCATCATCTGCGTATGTAACACAATCAAGTTGCAAATCTATCAGAGAAGGGAGACAAGCCATTGAAGGAGCATCCCTCAGAACCACACCACTGAGTTTTAAGATCACGAGAGATTTGCAGGTGTAAAAGCTGCTCGGTAATACGTTTGAATCATCTGAATAACGAGTAATTTCCAGCTCACGTACATGGCTAGAGACTGCAATTTCAACCCACCGTTTGATATCTTCAGCATTAGAATCCCTTAACTCGAAACACAATTTTTCTATGACCGGAGCTCTATTCAAAGGCATGTTCTTGTCAATAAAATTCCGAAGAAGTCCACAATTATCAATATCTGTACTAGTACTCATGTAGTTAAGTTCAGGCAACCACATCCAAAGAAACTTCCATCGCTTAGACAAGATGCTAGTGGATGCAGCGTCTTTTGTTCCAACACAAGATAATATCTTCACCAGCAATTCATCGGGCAATCCACTGATTCTGTCCATATTTTACAAACTCGAGATACTGTTACTCTATACAAACTTGGATTTTCTCTCCCCTAAAATAGAAAACCACATAGTAAGAGAATAGGATTTTTCTGAAGCCAAATAAACGAAATAGTAACAAGAGAAAACAAAAAAAAACCTAGAATATTAAAAGTTGGAACAGGACGTCCCCACACTCTAGAAGAATTAAAAATGCGAAAGCATTTGTTTGACACTATAAGTACCCATTTCACTTTTTGGAATAACAATGGTTGATTTCCAAGGTAATAATCCAAAAAGAATAATTCAAAATAAAAGTAATCTAGAAATCAAACCTCATATGTTTTGAAAAAGCGCCCACCTAACCGCTGTGATTATGACCAGTTTAGTCTTACTAATCTGTTGAGTAATTTACTCCATGTAATGTAGAGGCTTAAAATAATTTTAGTCACACATTTTTAATTTTTCTTTTTCACTAAATTTAAACCCAAAATTTAGAATGAGTTTGATTTGAGAATTGTTATTATTTGTATTAGATCTAGTTGACAGATGTATTTTACTATTGTCGATGTGAGACTATTTTTTTGAAGATATATAAGCCACATATACATGTTCTACTATGACAATATTTTTTCGATCAATCATCCTAAAACCTTAGCTTTTCATAATAAATAAATAGAAACCATGTGTCATATCAATCACTATTGATGTGATACTACTTTTAGAAGATTATATAAGCCACATATGCATGTTTTACTGTGACAGTATCTTATTCGACCAATTATCCTAAATTCTTAGCTTTTTGTAACCAGTTAATGGAAACTATGTGTCATGTCCAATTTGTACTACTCTCATTTTTACAAAGCATTTACATGGATTTAATTTCATTATAAATAACTTTTTCATTATCATATTTTCAAAAATTTATTATATCACATAATATTGATAAACATTATTTATTTTCATGGCACTGCATCATTTTCCAATCTATTTTACATCATATATATATATATATACCTATCATTTTTAAATAAAACATCACTTCACTTTTAATATTTTCATTTTATTAAATTTTATATGTTTATTTTTACATTTTGTATCTTTATTTTTGTTTTCTATTTATGAGCCTTTTTTTTCCCCATCATTTTTCTCTATCTTTTCCTCCTCTTCCTCCATTTTCTCTATTGTTGAATCCAACAATATCAAAAATCACAAGTTTCCAAAAAAATTTCAAACTCATATTCACAATTCTTATTTTCTTACATCTATATTTTTTTTTCTCTCACATCTCTCTTGTTTCTTCTTTTTCTTTATATTCAGATCTTTTTGGTATAAATCTAATTTATAATTATACTTTTGTATATCTAATTTTGTTGGGTACTTCCTAGAGAATCATCAAGATAAAAAGACGACGATGTTTCATACAATATTTTGCACCAGCGCCTTGATAGGGCTCATGTTTTATCCAAATAAAACTACTGCAAGTGCACAACAATGCAATTATAGTATAAGAGGTTATCGAATCCCAAGGGAGTTAGTAAACTACACTAAGAATTATAGATTCAGACTAGACAAAGCAGTAGATAATAAATGTAATGCAAAATAACTAAAACAATGAAAGCAAACGATTTTTGTTGATCTAGATTCAGAAAACTAAAAGCGCTAAGTCAGGTCAATTCGCCGGTTGAATCCGAGAGTGTAGAATGCATGCAAATCAGGAGTGGATTAAAACCGTCTTGAACATGAAACGCAAAGATATAACTAATCAATTCTCATTGCAGAAGTTATCTATGTCTAAATCACAGAGTTTCAAATCTCTTTGCAAACTCTAACAACCTAACATTGAATAATGACCAGGTTCAATTGTTCACAAAACTCCTAAACCAAATCTCTTTGCACTAAGTCGTTTTGCTCATCTAATACTAGTTCAGGTTATCAATAATGTTCTCACATCTATTAAACAACCTATGATGTTTGGATTTCCAGATGATGTGTCTAAGAAATCGGTTTTAAAGCAAACATAGATGAAGAACCAAAAGATATTCCTAACAGTTTAGCGATTCTACAAACTCTTCATCAACCCTTGAAAAGCCCTAACTTAACTAGCAGATTACTCATACATGATCATTAAAACACAAAGCATAGCTGAATAAAAATTGCATTGAAAGAGATAGAGTAAAAGTTAAAGGGGTTCGGAATCTTCTCAAAAGAGTACAAGATCTGTCTCTCCAAAAAGCTCTGAATAAATCTCTCGCTAAAGCTCTCTGAATTCTTAAATCTAAGATAAAAGCCAACAATGGCTGAAAACCTAATATATACAAGTTAAAACACGAGCTGGAACACTTTTACAAATACTGGAACTTCTGGGCCAAAACTGCAATTTCTTCTTCATCTTTTAACAATAGTCGCGACTCCTTCCCAGATACGGGTGACGAGCGTCACCCTTGAGTGGTAACGATCGTAACCAAAGCCAGTATCCGCCTTCTGAGTTGCACACTTCGTGGCTGATTCTTGCAATGCTCCAAAGAGGTCCTTAATCTCCAATTATGCTTCAGACATGCTATCACCTGCAAAGACTCTACTAGGACTCTAAAAAGACCAAAAAGACTAAATAAAAAGGACTTATATCATGGTTAAAAACCATAAAAAGCATGATATATCAACTCCCCCAGACTTAGCTTTTGCTTGCCCTCAAGCAAACATCAGATAGAGAACAGGGTCGAGGTTTGAAAACAGAAACAGTCAGCTAAACATCAGGAACACTACATTGATTAACACTTTCGAATCCACATACCACAGAGCCAACACAAGATCAAATTTCAGTCTAATCATCACAAGCTTAACAAATCTCTCAAATCTAGTTCAAGCTCCTTCTAGAAATCCGAAATCTCTACTGCTAACTCCTTATATTATTCTAAGTGTGATATCTCATCAAGGATTTATCAACTCAATCACTTATAGACTATTTCCCTTCCTAAACACTGAACAAAGCAATCTTAACACAGCTCTCCTATTTTCTATTCCCTTGATCTTTTCCTTTGGATTTTTTTCGATTTTTCAACTTCTTTTCTCATTTCAATTTTTTTACAGTCTATGATATGGTGCTACTTAATACTTGTGTTCCTTGTATGGAGACAGGTTCTTGAGTGTTCATTACTGTTGTTCTTTGTAAGGAGACAGGGTCATGATGCACCATTCTATGGACTTAAACTCTTAAAACTTGTATCAGGGAAAATCAAAGAGAGGCTGTATCTAAACATTCTTGTCAGTGTTGAAAGAGAGAATCAAGATCAATGAGAATCAAGCCCTAAGATAAGAAGTTTAAAGTTCATTAAGGTGGAGCTAACAGCAAATTTTCCAGATTCTCTAAGAACCTAAACCTTCATTGCTAGACTGATCTACCTATGACTTTCAACTTAGTAAGACTTGTAATCAACTACTGTGGCAATGGTTCTTATAAGCATCAACGTTCTGTGGTTAGTTCCAAGAAAAACTGACAGTTTTAGAATTTTGACACTATAAAACTGGTTTTTGACTCAATTTTAAGACTCTCAAAATCAAACACAATGTACACAACGTCAGTAACCACCTCTCAGACTTAAACAACACTGTCCCCAATGTTATTAAGCCTAGAGTTGGTCAAAAAGAAGCAGGTGAATGTGTAGAACCGAGTTAGAAAAGTGGAACCTCGCGAAGGGACGGGTGACGAGCGTCACCCTTGAGTGGTGACGAGCGTCACCACGTCTGAAACTCCAGGAACGAAAAACTAGATGTGTTAAACGTTATGTTATCATGTGTATTCTATAGTCAGACTGTTAGAGCACATAAACACATATTTAATAACATCCAAACATAGCAATAAAGCCTGGTCCAACAAGTTCACAAAATAACATCAAAGCAACTGAAAACTGACTCAAAAGAAAAACATAAAAAATGACTCCAAAGAAATAAAAGAAAAGAGAAAGAGAAACAAATAACCAGATAGTAGAGGATCTAGTCCTCATCCTCGAAAGCCTCATCAGTGGAGTGAGGGCGGACACAGCCACAGTTTCTGAGTGTAGACACAACATCCCATAGTCACTCAAAGCTTTCAATGACATAGTCCTGAAAGGCAGTCCATAGGCGTCATAGGTCTAGGAGGGCGCCTGAAAGTAGTGGGTGTGGCCTGGCGTCTCAATGGTCCAGCCTGTGTAGCAGCAGCGGAGGAGGAAGCGCCAGCAGTGGCTCCTCTAGGGCGCTGTGGAAGAAGGCGCAGCAAACTCGGATCTGGCTGAAAACACAGATGGCGTCTATCGCCCTGGATCGTGGTGAGCCCCTTGTTTAGCAACTGAATGCCAACATACTCTCCAGTAAGATTCGTGAAAGTCCAGACCAATCTCTGCTTGAACCAAGTAGCATTGCACCAATGTGTCTCATCCATGAGAGCCCTCTCAGTGATGATGCTGCAAGGCGATGTATCAATCTGGAAGTGCTGGAAGATAGGTGTGAGAAGGCTGCCAACGCTCTCACTCTTCTCCCCCGGACTGGAGAATGGCTTGGTCTTCAAAGAGATAAAATGCTCAGCAAAAATAGTGCCCAGATTGACGCGGATCATACTCATCATCGGGATCTCATCATCCAGCATCTCAGCAAAGCCGTAGTAGAGCATAACCAGCTCGCTGACACGCATCTTGCTAGGCGCAGACTTGCACAAGATGGTGTTGCCTAGAAGGCGCAGAATGTACCTCATAACAAGATGTCGAACGTCCGTCTGTGTGCTCGTCTTGCTCTCGTAGACTCCATTCCCGAACTTGGACCAGAATGTCTGCATGTGGGTCCACTGTGAAGAAGTGATCATGCCTGAAAGATGGTCAGGGAAGCCATGGATCCCGCAAAGCTCAAAGAGACTGAGCCTGTAACGAATCCCACGGATCAGGAATGTAAGTGTGCCCTGCTGTGCTACTCTAGCCAGCTCGTTCTCGTAGTATACGCGAACGGTGGAGAGGAACTGGCAAACTAGATCGGGGTACAGATCGTACTGCTGTGTCGCCATCGTACCCATCCCGATCCTCTCGAGAATCTGCATAACCTCATTCTTAATCCCCATCTTCTCCAGCACTATGATGTCCGTGAATCTGGTGGGAATGATCTTCACCTCCTGCCACGCATTGTAGAACAGCGTGTCATACTCATCCCACTCCTCCTGAATGTCGCGGAACACACAGGTATCCCGCGCCACTTCCTGCTTCGGTCTTCCTGCCCAAGCAACTCCTGAAATGATTTTCTGATCTTCTCGCTTTTTCCATGGAGACCTGCAAACTGGTCTACTGCTGTCCGATTGTGCTGAACCTGATGCAGTGCTCGAAGACGATGCTGGTCACTGTCTCATCTCACGTGGAGGTATCTTGCAGATCTTGAAAACTGATTAGAGATTATGAAAGAGCACTAAAATCTACACGGATTAGGCTTTTAAATCACTCAGTTTGGTTCAAGAAATCAAAAGTTATAATTCGAGGTGATTTTGTTCTAAATGTTCGTATTTTTGCAGTTATGAAGCGAAGAAGAAGAAGAAGGAAAGAGATAACTACTACAAAAATCACAAAGAAAAAAATCACCATGATCTTAGCAAAAAAAACTATTCTTCTCTAAATTAAACATATATGCTTTACGATCATATCAAAGTTGGATAATTCAATAGACGTCATGAATCTTTTATAACTAGAAGAGGAACCCATGGTATTTGAAATTGGCACGCCATCAAACGCATTTGATATAGATAAGAGATTAAATATAAACCAAATGGTGATGGTGGCTTATTAGAGTATAATGAAAGTAGGTGATAAATATATTACAGAATCTCACAATTGTTTTATGAAAAATAGAAAAAACATATTGAAATATACAATAGAAATATATATATATATATATATATATATATATTAAAAGAGTATTTGTTTCAGTTTTCTTAAATATCAAATGATTATAGAGATAATAGATGCTTATGATCTTAGCAAAAAAATATTCTTTAATAAATTAAACTAGGTGATCGGTTCGCACCGTGTGCAGTTTATAAAATATTTTATATGTTCGATATATGATTAATATAGTATATTGAAGATGATTTCTTTGTATATAATTAAATATGTATTAATAATAACATTATATAAACATTTAATAATAAAAAATAACGATAAATCAAATAAAAATATTATAGATTTCAATATAATTTGAAGATAAAAAATCATTAACCAAGATTTTAAAATACTTCCTTAGATAAAAAGTGTAAATAAGATAACTAAATAAACTGCAAAACATTAAAATATATAACAATTTATTTAATTTTTTATTTTTGGCCCGTACGCATGTGCCGATATAAATTTTTTATAAACATAGTTAATTCTAGTATTTATTATTGATTAATTTTTTATACATTATGTAAATGTCATGTTTTTATACATATACAGTTTTAGTGTTTAACAACAATCACACAAACGTTTCATATCATTTTATGTCTTTTTATTTTTTTATTTATTTTTCTAGCGTTTAAAGTAACATATAAGTACGAATATAAAATTTAAATTAAATAATAATTAAATTATTATAATAAATTTTGAATATTATCTATACTTTACTTTCTTTTTCTCCTTACACAATATAATCTTGCCAATGAATATATTTAAGTGGATTTTATCATCTTTACTTAAACTAAAATAGGGTTTTTTTTTTAATTATTTTTATTTATCCTAAGAGTGAGTAGATGATTGGCCCGCACATTCGTGCATACCAACCACCTCACCGCTCTTAGGACATATAAACATTTTATTTTTAAAATATATAAATTGGCTAATAACTAAAAATAAAACTAGACTGTAATCGATGTTATAAAAATGAATGCACGACAAGTTCGCATGCAACTATGATTTTTACCCAATTAATATTTAAATCTACCCGCATATTTGTGAAACAATTGAAGTACGACTTTTATGTGTTAAAAGAATATAACAATATATATATATATTGTAACATATATTTTTATAATGTATGGTTGAATGTTTTTTTATAAATAATACATATATTTATGCATGTAGATATGAGTTAGAAATAAGTGAATTATAATATTTAGGTGTTTGTTTTTACATGATGTATAATAAATATATTTATGCATCGCTATGTTTTTATACAATGCAGTTTTTGGCGTTTAACAACAATCACAAAAATTATTTATATATTTTCGTATTTAATCAAAATTTTTAATTTTTCAGCGTTTTATGATGTACGGTTTCTCAAAAAAAAACATAATAAAAAATTATTATATATCTGAAATCATATTTTATAAAATTCTCTGGTAGCTCTCCGCTCATCTGTTCATCAAATTTTTTATTGTCCGCAATCACTCGCTTCCACAAACTCTCTGTAACTCCATCGTTCAAACCAGTCAGATCTAGACTTACATGTGTGTTATTTAATGTGTAAAATAATATATTTGATGTTTGACTGTTATATTAAAAATAATGAGTTCTTCAGTTCATAATATTGATGGATCACAACATATACAAAACTTGATTCATGAAATAATATTTTAATACGCTGAAAAAATATATGTATGAAAGAATTAATATGTGTAAGAAAATATTTTAAAATATTTCAAATAAACACATAAAATCGATCATAAATATTCTTTTTTATATTTTAATTTATTTTTTTACTCATTTTTTTTCATAACCTTGACTAATATATTAAATAATAAGATCATCTAGGTGGATTTTTTTAAAATTTAGGTGGGTTTCTTTCCAACCTATTTCTATTTTACAGGAAAAAGAATGATTGTTACTTTTTTCTCCAACTAGGAAATAATAACATCTCTATCTTTCTTCATTAAAAGATTTCAAATAAATGTGGGTTAGAGATAGTTTAAACCAAAAATATAGCCTGGTATTTTTTACAAAAAAATCAAAGTCGTATAGATTTATTTTTACTTTTACGTCTACTTCTTATTCATATATAAAATATTATATATAAAAAGATTTGCTAAGAGGATATTTATAATTTTTTTTGTTTTATTTATAATTTTGAATTCTTGCTATATAATGAAAATATATTCACATATGATATAATTTTTTATTATTTAAAAATAAGATTTATTTAGTTTTAACTTAACCAATCAAAATATTTCGTTTATTTTAGGAACTTTGCCATGTCACAATTTCCAGGTTATTATTAATTTACACATTACCTTTTTTTATTAAACCTGTTTCTCAAATAATATTATGTATATTTTACCACGGTATCAAGATTGGACAATTCAATAACTGTCATAAATCTTTTATAAGTAGAAAAGAGATTCAAATAAAAATTTTAAAATAGTAGACCATCAAATGTATTTAATGTAAATAAGAAATAGAAAATTAATTAATAATTATTGTGGCTGACCTTTATAAAATAGTACTGAATAATAGACATGTTGCTAGAATTACTAAAAAATATTAAATATACAACATAAACTTATATTATAAAAAAATTTATGAAAAGAAAATCTATGTAAATTCATTTTTAATAATTTAAAGTTATTAATAAAATTAAAAATTTAGAGCAAATTAATAATATAGACATGCCTGTAATGCGGACAAAAATCTAATTTGACTAGAAAATTGGCATGAACTCCTTGTCAAAAAAGAATTCACTTATAACCTTATTTTATTTCACCATTTGAATACAAATCTTTGCACATATTTAATATTTTACTTCTTTTCGAATTAACTTTTTTTCTAAACCGAACATAAACTTTCAAATCCAAAAACTTTAAATCTGGACACATGAATACATGATTATAGGTCAGTCAACAATATATCTCATTGTTATTGGATAATAGATAAAAGCTAGAATTTTGAAGAAGACGAAACATACGAGCATAGCAAATAGCAAATAGCAAATAGCAGAGTTGAAGAACTGACATTCTTTAAATACATAGTTCGTACCTTCAAGGCTTCAAGTATCTCTCTAATTATTTCTGTCGAAGACATTCTTATGCCTCAATATGATTCTCGTCCTCATTAAATACGAGTTCGCATGTGCTTGAAGCTCGGGTAGAAAGTGCCAACTCTTTGATCATCTTAATTCTTGGAACATCATATTCCACTGAATCAGCCAAGATTACTGCCTTCTTTAAGCAACGAGCGCTCTTCAAGATGTACACCGCGAGATCTCTGTCTTGTGGTCTCCCAAAGTATCGTAACCATTTAAAAACTTGAAGACTCGACAACAAGCATTTAGGAACATGACTCGGTTCATTCCAGCAATCCATATCACTACACTCCTCCTCATCCTCATGATCCTGAGACGAATACCAAGCAGCATATTTAGATTAGAACCATACTGCACAGTGCACACTAGATCCACCAAAAAAAAAAAATAGTTCATCGAAGAAACTTACTTCCCTTCTGAAGAGTTGTAGTACTCGTAAGTTAGGAGAATCTTTTAGCAATTGGACAAGGAGATTCGAAGAACCCTTTTGGCAAACACATATAGTCAGACGTTCAAGCTGGTTGAAAACTAAACCATCACCATACACATGATCCTACATATGCATATCTCTGATTCATTATTCATTCAAAGCCATATCAAATTTTTAAATGAGATAGAAATCTTGCAATTTGATAAAAGAAAATGAATTACCTCTGAACATATTGTAAGATGCTTGACGGATGTGATTGATTTAATCACATTCTTGAGAGCAAAGAAATAATCAGTGACATATGCTTCACTCAGCTTAGGCATATCTTTAATCTCAAAGTCGTGTTCAACGTATTCCCAATCGTCAAGATAGAAAAACTTCAAAGAAGGAGTATCTATCACATACCTATTTATATGAATTTCAGGTAGAAAGAGTGGTAAACACTGCAAAGTCGAGACGATTATAGTGAACGCATTTAAATTGTAATCATCACAATGCACATCCAGTTCTTCAATAACAGGACATATATCAAGAAGCCGTTGAAGAGTTGCATCATCTGCGTATGTAACACAATCAAGTTGCAAATCTTTCAGAGAAGGAAGACACGCCATTGAAGGAGCATCCCTCAGAACCACACCACTGAGTTTTAAGATCACGAGAGATTTGCAGGTGTAAAAGCTGCTCGGTAATACGTTTGAATCATCGGAATAACGAGTAATTTCCAGCTTGAAGATGTAAGTGACATCAGGAAGCAGCTCAAGAGGGACTGCAGGATGCTCATAGCTGAGGATGCTCGTAGCTGACATGGAACTCAGCGATTGGTGATTTAAGAAGGAAATCTTGAATATATCTTGAGTATATTCGAGAATCTAGGAAAAGGAAAAACTTGCTACAAAAGGATATTCAACTAGATTCTAGGGTTAAACTCTTGGGTAGGTTGTATAAATAGGAAGTCGGGCAAAGTGTAGTCTGTATACTTTGCGCCGCAAGCTTTTAAAACATCCTTGAGCTTCAATAGCAAAAACGAAGCAAGAAGGTTAGTGTCCTCTTCCTGGTAGATCTGCTGTACGTTCAAGTGAAGGGTGTTTTATAAAACTAGGAACCTTTGGGGGCAATCTAGGTTAGAGTTGCATAAGTCCAAACAATTGTAATCAGTTGATTAAATTGTTGATTCTAGTTTAATAAAACAAGCGATGACTTGGCGCCTTCCAAGTAATTTTCTTTTGCACCTGTTTTCTGCACTTACAATTGGTATCAGAGTAGGCATCTGCTAAGGATTGTCTGTTCTTATTAATCAGGTGTGATTGTGGGACAAAGTATGGAAAACATGCAACATCTCGGCTCTGTTAAGTCACTTGTTCTTGATGCTGAGAATTGCAGATGGTGGAAGGCTTAGATCAAGGCCCTTATCAAAGGGTACGATGATGATGCTTGGACGATGGTTGAAGAAGGGTGGACAGAACCAACTATTGTTGGAGCTGATGGGGTAACCAGACCTAAACCGAGGTTGATCTGAACCGTTGAAGAAAAGTCGTGGTCAAAGTTCAACTCTAAAGCCCTGTCTATAATCTGGACATCTCTCACCAGGGATCAGTTAAAGAAAGTTCAGGGATGCACCACTGCAAAAGCTGCTTAGGATGCACTTCAGGTTGCGTATGAAGGGACTACAAGTGTTCGAAGAACTCGGATGGATATGCTGGCATCACAGTTCGAAACTTTGACCATGTGATCAGGAGAATCTATCGAGGAGTTCAGTGGGAAGCTCAGTGCCATTGCATATGAAGCCCATGTTCTGGGAAAAACTTACAAAGACAAGAAGTTAGTCAAAAAGTTTCTGCGGAGCCTACCAGACAAGTTTCAGGGTCACATATCAGCTCTCGAAGTCTCAAAAAATTCAGATGAAATGAAGTTCAATGAAATCGTAGGGATGATGCAAGCCTATGAGATGAGACAGACGCAGAGGAATCAGACTAAAGGAAAAAGTGTGGCGTTTTCTGCTGAACAAGGAACATTGCAAACAGCAGACCTTGATGATCAAGTTGGGTTGATTGTAAAAAGGTATTTCAAGAAATTTGACAAAGCTCAACGTAAGACAGGGTCTGACCTCAGAAGATCAAGCAATGAATCTAGAAGTGATCATGGTTCAAGAAAATCAGAAATGCAATGTCATGAATGTGAAGGATATGGTCACTTCAAGACTGAATGCCCAACCGCCAAAAAAATAGCTACTCTCAAATGTCAGAAGTGCAGTGGGTTTGGACATGTTAAGTCAGAGTGTATCACTCAAGACAGAAGGAAGGACATATCTCTAATCAGCAAGGAAGATTCACAATCAGATGAAAGCGAGGATGATGAAGAGCCAATGCTAAATTATGTGGCCTTCCTTGGAGTTCTTGATGAAAATGCTGATTCTGGGGGAGATCCGGACATTGAAGAGGATTTCTCAGACAACGAGATATTGGCTGAAGAGAATAAAACCTTGTGTCTTGCTATGATCAATGCAAAGCAAGAAAAGGAGGATCTGCTGCAACTGATTAAGGATAGAGATGAGCAAATCAGGAGTTTGGACAAGACACTCAAGAGTCACAGTTTGGTGATTGAAGAAAAGGAGGATAAGATATTTGCACTTCAGTGTGAAATCGAAGTGGCTGTGAATCAACTTTCAGAGCAAGTCAAGTACTCAGATTTCCTGAAAATGCTGCTTGTGGAAGAACAGGAAAAGAACCGGGAACTGAATGGTCGATTGACTGAACAGCTGAGATACATCAAGATGTTGTCCAAAGGAACAAAAGATTTTGACAAACTCCTGAGTATTGGTCAGTCTAGCAAGAGCCTTTTTGGTCTTGGTTACGTAGGACAATCATCCAGTCAGGAAGTTAAATTCGTTCGTGGATCTGAGGCGTTGCAACGTCCCCATCAACCATCCACTCAAGGCGTAACTCAGGCTGTCAATCAGAAGGTTGATAAAGTCAGAAACAGAGGAGGAGTGTTGAAGACTGAAAATGTCAAACCTAGTGACAAAAGAATGACAGTCAGTGAAGTCTATCGATATGGGAGGTTGTCTGGTTGCTACTACTGTGGAAAACCAGGACATATAAAGGCTCACTGCTATCCTCTCCAAGAAGACATTCAACACCTTATCAGGCAGAATCAGTTCTTCAGGAATGGAAAACGTCAAAACCAGGGATGGATAAAGAAACCACGGGATACTCAATCCTTCACAGCTGTTACTTCCGAAAAGGGATCAGAAGTTCCGTCTTGGTATTTTGACAGTGGTTGCTCACGATACATGACAGGTTCTCAGGTTGGTCTTGGAAAGTTTGAGAATGTATCAGCTGGTAGAGTTACTTTCAGTGGTGGAGCTAGAGGTAAAATCAGAGGTGTTGGAAAGACAAGGGGACCACACTAACCTCAGCTAGGAGAGGTATATTACGTGGATGGACTGGAAGCAAATCTGATGAGTATTAGTCAACTGTGTGATGAAGGTCTCTCTGTGCGCTTCACCAAAGACTCATGTCAAGCTGTATCTGGAAGCGGTCAGGTCGTCATGAATGGCACTCGTACCAGCAATAACTGCTATAAGTGGATCTCACCACTAACCCATTGCTAAAGTGCTGCTACCAACAGTTCTAACGAGTTGCAGGTATGGCATCAGAAGCTTGGACACATGAACATTCGTACTATGGCTAGACTTGCTGATAAGGAACTTGTACGCGGAATGCCGAAGATCAAGATTCCGTCTGAGTTTGTGTGTGGTCCTTGCACTCAAGGGAAACAGGTACGAGTTCAACACATATCTGTCCCTGATATACAAACTCACCAGCCTCTTGATTTACTGCACATGGATCTAATGGGACCCATGCAGACTGAGAGCATTGGAGGTAAACGGTATGTCTTTGTGTTAGTAGATGACTTCACCAGATATTCTTGGGTTCGATTCATCCGCGATAAATATGACATGTTTGATAGCTTCCGAATTCTTGCGTTGCAACTAAAGACAGAAAGAAAGAATGGTATAAAGACTACCAGATATTCTTTTGGTTGTTTTTGATGAGCGCATTGGACTTTTAAGTCGCTTTTGGTTCTTGAGTGCGGGCCTGTATTTTTAAGTACTTTTGATTCTCTCAAGTTATGCCTGAGCAAGTATGTTTGGATTCTTGCCTTGTGTGTGCGGTTGCTTGTCTGACTTTGCAGGTTGATTGATACGAGTGCTGAAGTGACAAACCAAGTCAAAAAGGGGGAGATTGAAGATGTAAGTGACATCAGGAAACAGCTCAAGAGGGACTGCAGGATGCTCGTAGCTGAGGATGCGCGTAGCTAACGTCGAACTTAGCGATTGGTGATTTAAGAAGGAAGTCTCGAATATATCTTGAGTATATTCGAGAATCTAGGAAAAGGAAAAACTTGTTACAAAAGGATATGCAACTAGATTCTAGGGTTAGACTCTTGGGTAGGTTGTATAAATAGGAAGTCGGGCAAAGTGTGGTCTGTACACTTTGCGCCGCAAGCTTTTAGAACATCCTTGAGCTTCAATAGCAAAAACGAAGCAAGAAGGTTAGTGTCCTCTTCCTGGTAGATCTGCTGTACGATCAAGTGAAAGGTGTTTTATAGAACTAGGAATCTGTGGGGGCAATCTAGGTTAGAGTTGTATAAGTCCAAACAATTGTAATCAGTTGATTAAATTGTTGATTCTAGTTTAATAAAACAAGCGTTGACTTGGCGCCTTCCAAGTAATTTTCTGTTGCGCCTGTTTTCTGCACTTACACAGCTCACATACACGGCGAGAGACTGCAATTTCAACCCACCGTTTGATATCTTCAGCATTAGAATCTCTTAACTCGAAACACAATTTTTCTATGACTGGAGCTCTATGCAAAGGCATGTTCTTGTCAATAAAATTCCGAAGAAGTCCACAATTATCAATGTCTGTACTAGTACTCATGTACTTAAGTTCAGGCAACCACATCCAAATAAACTTTCATCGCTTAGACAAGATGCTAGTGGATGCAGCGTCTTTTGTTCCAACAAAAGATAATATCTTCACCAGCAATTCATCGGGCAATCCACTAATTCTGTCCATATTTTACAAACTCGAGATACTGTTACTCTATACAAACTTGGATTTTCTCTCCCCTAAAATAAAAAACCACATCGTAAGACAATAGGATTTTTCTGAAGCCAAATAAACAAAATAGTAACAAGAGAAAACAAAGCAACACACATGAACATAACAAAAACTAAGAAAAACCTAGAATATTAAAAGTTGGAGCAAGACGTCCCTACACTCTAGAAGAAATTAAAATGGAAGGTTCTCTTCAAAAAATGCGAAAGCATTTGTTTGACACTATAAGTACCCATTTCACTTTTTTGAATAACAATGGTTGATTTCCAATGTAATAATCCAAAAAGAATAATCCAAAATAAAAGTAACCTAGAAAAATACAATAAGAAGTAAAAGGTGTAGATATCAGAAGAAATCAGACCTATGTTTTGAAAATGCGCCCACCTAATCGCTGTGATTATGACCAGTTTAGTCTTACTAATCTGTTGAGTAATTTACTTCAAGTAATATAGAGGATTAAAATAGATAGTCACACATTTTTAATTTTTC